CACATACTTAAAAATAACGGAAAGAAAGTATACTGGGACTCACAGATAAACTATTTTTATCTTACACTAATTCTTCTCTTTTTTTTTTTTCTATTATTTATTAATTACTCCCTTTGTGGGAATTCTTACCACAGTCCGCAATAGCAGTGTGAAAAACGCTACAAAAATTGTTAATCCCGTGGCACGATTGGTAATCCTGCAACTTTATAAAATTTTATTATTATTATTATTATTATTATTAACCTTCAATTGCAAGTGTGAGTAATGACATAATGTCGCTTATTTGGTATTCTCTCCGCCTTGCATAGTGTGTCAAGTGTATATTTCTTTGACGCGCTACGGAAAGGTAAGTTTGCAATCAGATCTGACGTTTCTCGATGCGATGTCGTCGCCAGTGAGGGCTTTTAATAAGATGCATCTAACGAGATTTTCGCGCGTTTTGTCATTATGTCGGCTCTGTGGTTCCTTTGATTAAAGTCGTGATTTTACCGGAGCTTGAAACCACTTACAACGTTAACATATTGCGTGATAAGGGCGGGACGACGATGATTATGGTCTCAATTAAACAATATAAACAAAAATTACATAGAAACAAAAAAAAATCGTATTATTGAACGCAAGGCTTTGCAATAAATACAATTTTAATAGACTCCTTGTATGCAATAAAAATATGTACCTTTTAACTTAGATTCTAAGAACTATATTATTATTTTTTATTGATACAATATTTCAGCTAAAACAATATATTTTTATTTCACTGGCGTTGTCTGGCAAAAAAAGTTTCTCATAGCCTTCTTCCATCCTTTTGACACAAACTTTTAGATTATTGAGATATGAATAACTTGCCAAAGAAAATTTTGTCAAAATGAGTTCCGCTCTTTCGTATTGGCCCAACTGTCAAAAACGCATATGAAAGATGGATTACATGAGATTATTTTCTGTAAACTTTGTACAATTTCTTTATTGGATTTTTTTTTTCAAAGATACTACTGTTACACGTTTTGGTAGTTTTGTGGTGCATACATAACGAAAAGGGGGTGTAAAGTTAATTACCTTGTGGTGGTGAGCTACATATATACATTAAACCTCGATTGCTTTTCTTAAATACAAGTTCAATTATTATTGTCCGTGTAAAAAAGTCCAAAAAAAATTGTATTCGAAACAAAAAGAAAATTTTTTTTTTTTCGTTTTGTTTCGAATACAGAAACAAGTATTGTGAATTTGTACTCATCTTTATTAATTATCACAATACAGTTTTGAAATAAACCGTCACCTATGTATATCACTCAAGAACGGTTCTTTTTTTAAGAACAAGTTCAGTAAGTCTTAGAAAATATTTTTTTTAAATATGGCAATTAGGAACTAAAAGTTGAAAATACATTGAGATTTTCGTCGAGGTGAAAATAAACCGTTTAGCTCGGTGGCTACAGCGTCGGGTGCGTATCGCGGAGTACACAGGTTCAAGTTCTCGCAGCAAGAACTTTTCGTTCATTGTTCTACAATGTTTTAAATTTCATCTTGAGTGCAGAGAACGGCACTATAAAATTTAATACAATTATAAACGACTTATGAAAATCTACGACTATAAAAATTTGGAAATTTGCGAAGACTGATCTTGACGCAGAGGAGATTTAATAACTGCTCAGCAATAAGCGTTCATGAAACCTTCCTTGATATATCCTAGCGAGGAATACATCGACACACTTGAACAATAGTGCTAGCAACTATAACTATAACTATTAAGTACTAAGTAATATAAGTGTAGTACTAATCTTGTATTCAGAACATTTGAACCATCATGCTTGGTCTACGTTAAGTATTTAATCTTAAGACAACTATACGCAGGAATTTACTGTGATATGTCCATACATTAATTAAATATATGTATTAAAATATCTAGAAAAAGTACGAAAAGATTGTTGCCGCTGTGGATATCATACCCACGTCTTCGGCATTCGCGGACTGACGTTTTAGCCACCAAGCTAAACGGCTGATAGCCACACCGACGAAAATCTTAACGTTATCTACTTTGGTTTTTAGCATTTGAAGCAATGCTTGGCGCAAGCGCTTGGCGAAACAATATCTATCTATATCAATGTCACATAATTCATCTTTTCAATCCTCACTGGTTTCATGTTCGGCTGCATGAATTTTATGTGACCATTTAGTCTGTTACGTCTTATCAGATAATGGGTGTGTATATCATCCAAATACTTTAAATGACTTCGAATACTCAATTCAGTTACCCAATTAGGTGTATACAGGTATCGTATAAAACGATTTGATCTATTCCTTATATTTTATTAACATAATTAACACATATATTAACCCCTACGGTGAGTCGGAATACGGCATGTACTGAATATTAATAACTTCAGCCTTCCAGCTCCCTTAATATTATCGAATAATTATCATATTATTTAACTTAATTCACATACACTTTAGAAATATCTGTATCTTTAAATATTTAAAGGTTAAAAACCCCAAAGGTGTCCATACCTGAAGCTGAAAAAAAAGCAGGGCCTTTGTATTGTACAAATCCTTTCATGTTATTACATTTCTGTCATAATTCTCTGTGTACATAAATTATAAATATAAATTGTTATTCAATTTAATCCAAAAAAATTAAGTAATCTTGCGAAATAGTATTATACTTATAAAGCGATACACAGTATTAAACAAAAAAAATTACCAGCCGCCAATCCAACGTCACCACTTCTTGGGATTTAATAACTTTTTTAACTGTGATACTTTTAACACTACATAATTTTGTTTTTAACGGCCGGTTTCAATATGCTATCTACAGATAGATTTGTTTACTGGAGATAGAATTTTGACGTAAGTGTTATGGAGCTAATGTCAAATACCAATAGCTAGTAACCAAATATATCTTTGGATTAAATATTGAAACGGAAATTTATCAATCAAATGTAAAATGATCATGGTTACGCATGAATTTCGTAATTAGAAAACTGATCATGGTGGTAATTACCATAAACGAAGATTATATTCTAAAATCAAAACGACAAAACAACAATTTAGGTGTCGTCTTAGATATTTATTTATGTGAGAAATATACTTCTATTTTTGACGCTATACATCGCGCTATCGCCATCATTCAGATATTACGGCAGTCTTCACTGCCAGCGACAGCATTGAATTAAATGTCACTCGAGAAACCACTTGTGGGAGTCGGAACGAAATTCAAAAGTGAATTTTAAGTGGCAGACGGAATTTGCTAAAATGGGACTGCCGCACAATTTACATTGACACGTTGATACAGACAGTAAAACCATGACTAAGTTTCATTGTAAATTTACGAAGCAGTTTTGAAACAGTTAGTAGGTATATCAATATGGGTTTCTACCTGATGTGTGACCTATGGAACAGTGTGATACTCCGGTCACTTTCCTCATTGGATAACAAAAAGGTGAGGGTATAAATTTACTTTTTACTATTCCTTCGCGCTGCCGTGGGCTTCCGATATTCGATGGGCGTGTTCGTTCAGTATGGACTGTTAGGGAATGTGTGACAGAAAATAAATTTAGTTCAAATCTATTAAGTCATTTATAACGATATTAAATGTAAGAAGATGGCAAATGAACTGGCGGTTCAAGTGATGTTAAATGATAATCGCCGCCTAATGACATTTGCAACACCCGTAGGTTTGTAGATGCGTTGCCACCATTTATTAAAATAGGCCCCGGCTACCTCAATCCCCAGACGAAACGCAGAAGTTTAACACTTCCACTCACACACGCCGGCTTTCTATGAGGTCGTGGTACTTACCGGGACAGACGTGTTATTTGGACACGGCCAGCAAAAAAAACTAATATTCAATATTAAGAAACGCAATAAGGGGATATTACATCTCCTTTAAAAATATATGTAACACTATTATTAAATCTTACATATGGAAAGTAAAAAATGAATGTAAACAGTAACTCTACTTAAGTTTAAGTTCGTTTACAATATGAAAACTACAGTTATAAAAAGATAACTAACTATAGTATTACTATAGTAGATTGGTATGTATCAATCTTATCCTATTGGGTCTAATCCGCTTTGTCAATAGCTTTGAACGCTCTAGTCTAATTGACCTTTGTGTATTCCATGCGATGGGATATCCCCGAGCACTGTAGCAGGTAAAAGCTTACGGAAAAAGTTCACTTAATGATTCGATTTCAGGTGAATAAATCAAACTGCCGTAATAGCATTGACCTGGCCCTCGCTTTTAGTTTCATATACTCGAGCAACCTGAGTTGTACCTGTCTCATTATTGTAGATAAGAAAGACTCTACATTCGTTAGTACGGTACCTCCCCTGACGGCAACTAATATCACAAAGTCTGGGGCATTCAGATATGGATTTCTTGGTTTGCGGCACCTTAGCCCTGAGGTAATGACAGGCGATATTTTGTGTATGTCTTAGTATTCACATGCCCCTTTGATACATTCATTCCGTAAGGAATTACATATTAAAGAAAATACATTTTGTCGCCATAAAGCCAAATAAAAAATTAAAACCAGAAGACAATCTAATTAAAAATGTTTCAGCAGCCTCGATAATTTTTACGGTGATATGTCGCGAAACTTATAAAGTACGCGTCAGGTCCGACAAACAGATCGGCGCTTCGACTCTGTGGTCTTCTTTAACCAACAAACTGCCAAATGTTAGAAATATTAAAATACAATACTTTTATTATTATTTTTGGGCATATTTATTTGTTTTCTCGTCTGGTTGGCATAAAACTGGTTGGTTGGTTAAAAATAAGCATATTGGCTGGCTTTTTCTCATTTCAAACAATGCTTGGCGCATCCAATGTTATATCCTAATGACTTTAAGAAGCCTAAGTGATTTATACCGTTTATTGCATTGTCTGTGTTTTATTATAATAAAATCAAATTATGTGTTATCAGCATAATTAGCCCAACATTATTAGTGCCGTAGTTATTATGGCAGTAAATTGACCGAGATAAAACCCGACATTCCGAAGATAAATGTCATGGGCGGCGCTCTTCATTGTTAAGGTAATTTGTCACGGAGCGTACGAAGGAAGCGAAAAAGTTAAACTGTACGTATAAATAGTTTTTTTGACTTTTCTCCAAATGAATTTTATTCTTGCAAATGGACGCTAGCTCGACTTATTTTGTTTGGCGTTGAATGTACTATACTTTTTTAAATATGTGTTTTTTTTAATATTTCAAGACTTATTCTATCTAGATAGGACCATCACGGTTAGCCTGGTGGCAGATGGACAGACAGACAGGGGAGTCTTAGTAATAGGGTCCCGTTTCATCATTTGGGTACGGAACCTGTAAAACAATGTGGATATAGGACGTTGTGATTTTCGTCGGCGTGGAAATCAGCCGTTTAGCTTAGTGGTTAAAGCGTTACGCCGCGAATCCTGATTGTGATTCGATTCCCACAGCGGCGAAAAACGCGTGTTGCATTTGTTCATGGGCGGCGGTAATCACTTACAATCAGATGAGATTAAAGAAGAAGACTCGAAGAAAAAAACTCTATATTTCTGCAAATTTTAATAGAGTCACCAAAAGTCATCATAGGCTATAAAAAAAAGAACCATTTCGAACTATGGTAGGTTTACGCATAAGCTTCAACTGTTGCAACAAGAGCCGTAATAGCTCAGTGTCCGGGCGCTCGCCTTTAATTAAATATACTGGAGCAACCTGAGTTCTATCCCCGGCGCGGCCCCAATGAAGTTTTTAACTTTTTTTGTGCTGACTTATCACGTGCTCTGCGGTGAAGGAAAACATCGTGAGGAAACCTGCATATTTTCGAAATAATAACAAAAAATATATATATTTCGAAGATATGTGAAGTCCGCCAATCCACAGTGGGGCCGCGTGGTGGACTATGCCCTGATACCCTCTGTACAGAGGAGGCCTTTGCCCAGCAGTGGTACATGTATAGGCTGTTACTTTACTTTTTTTTTCAACTGTTGAACGCAGAAGAGCAAGTATTATATTTTCGTAATCTGGTGCGTAAGATAACCGGGGCAACTTTTTAAAAGATAGGCAAAGCATGTGTAACTCCCTACTATGAATTGTAGAAGTCCATTGGCAGTATTCATATCAAATCACGTAAATCACAACTCGTACCAGTTTTTATAAAAAGATATATGTATATGTTCATGTCCACTTCCGGTCTGCCAATATGAGATCACACACTTTTTCGATGTTTCCCCCAATTTTAGACGTCGTTGGCTGACTCAATTAATTATTCAATACGGTTAAATGTAATATTCCATTTTTGTTGATAACAAAAAAACACCGAACGAAAAGGACCTGGTTCTCTTTTGAATCGGTTGAAAATAGGAATGTACATTACATTGTTGCCTTATCGTCTTCATGGACTTATGAAGAAACATTCTCTTTTCTTTTACGTTAAGCAATATCGAAATTCTCATGTCAAATTCGCTTTGCCTTGTCAGTACAACGCAAAGTTTCACATTGTGTTATCAAGTTGCCTCCGTTGGAAATTCTGTGTTGTGTAACAGGGCTGAGGTCACATATTAAACGGGAGTACTGTAACTAAATGCTGGCTGTGACATGAATAACGTATAATATCTATTTGTATTGTTTTTTTTTTTTTTATGTGCGAAGGTGGTAAACGAGCAGGCGTTTGATCTTAAGTGATAATCACCGCCTATTGAAATTTGCAACACCCTTAGGGTTACAGATGGGTTGCCACCTTTGTTGAAAAATGAGTGTTAGATACATTCGAAAATTCATTCTAATAAACCTACTTTAAGGTTTAACGTGTAATTCAATTTCGTCAATTTCTAAAAAAATCATCACATTTTCAAAATGGAAGCGAGCGTACAAAAATACAGTGATTACAAATAGTAAGCGCAATATGCGAATCTAGGACCGTAATGTCGCCTGTTTTAAATTATTTCAAACTAATTTAATTAAGCTGAGACTGCCACTGTGTCTAAAAAAGTCAGTACATAAATGTCATCACCAAGAGCCAGTATTCAAGCCTCTCAATTTGATTGCCTGTGTAGGTACATTATGACTGAGTTTTGTATGTACGAGTATATGCATGTAAGGGATTTGTATGTGTGTGTCAACGTTGAGTAATTAGAGGCGGCTGCGCTCGCCGATTAAGTTTACCTATTAGTCGCGAATAAATACAGTTAGAGTGAACACGTAGTCATTTCCTTTATGTTTAACCTTTCCCACATAAATATATTTCCCTATTCCTGAAGTGGTGACCCCGATAGCTGTATTTATTAATTATTACATACGTTATAATTCGGAAATCTACAGGTTAGCGACTTACTGCTGATGCCACCGGAGGAGCGCAGATATGAGGCACTCAAGGAGCGGCTGCTGCAGGTGTTTGAGGAGTCGGAGACACGGCAGTTCCAAAAGTTGCTGGGAGAGATGGAACTGGGCAGCCAGAAGCCTTCCCAACTACTGCGGCACTTGGCACGTTCGAAAATTCCAGACCCAACGTTGCAAATTATGTGGAATAGCCACCTTCCAGCGGCGGTGCAAGCGGTTTTAGCAGTCACGGAGGGCAAGGAGTTGGACAATTTGGCCGTGATTGCCGACAAGGTCATCGAGGCCACCCGGCCAGCAGAGTTATCGGCGGTGGCGACATCGAGCTCGATCCCAAAAGACACCGCCATATCTTCAGACTTGGCCGCCGCGTTACATAAACTGAGTGTCGAGGTTTCGGAACTACGTCGCGCGCGGCAACCATATCGTGGTCCACGTAGACGTAATTCACGTAGGTCGAGGTCGCGCACTAGGGACGCGAGTAGGCATCGAAGGGACCCTGAATGGTTGTGCTTCTACCACTACAAATATCGTTCCAAAGCAACCAAGTGCGTAGATCCGTGCAACTGGAAAGAGCTGAAACACGTTGCCACATCGGAAAACTAACGGCGATACAACCGGCGGCGGAGGTTTGTATCGAAGCGTCAAAACGCCTATGTATTTTCGATAGAAACAGTGGGTTAAAATTTTTAATAGACTCCGGTGCGGAAGTGTCGGTTATACCTGTTTCGTGTACTAAATCGAAAGATTTCGCGTGTGATAAGTATAAACTTTATGCGGCTAACGGTACCGAGATAAGGACATATGGCGTGCGTACTTTAGTGTTAGACCTTAGTTTAAGAAGATCTTTCCGATGGACTTTCATTGTGGCGGCTGTTAAGCAACCTATAATTGGAGTAGATTTTTTAACTCATTATAGATTGTCAGTTGACTTAAGCGCACGGCGACTCGTAGATCAGGTTACGCGTTTGAACGTTATTGCGTCAGTCATATTATGCCACGGCGAGTATGAATCATCTATTAAAACGTTGATTAATAACAATGTATGGCATGATATTTTATCTAATTATCCTGATATTACCCGTCCGGTATCATACAAAGATATTCCAAAGCATACGGTTTGCCATCACATCGAAACTTCAGGACCACCTGTCCATGCGAAGGCGAGACCACTACCTCCGGATAGGTATAAAAAGGTTAAGGCGATATTTCAGGATATGTTAGACTTAGGTATTTGTAGGCCCTCCAAAAGTCCTTGGGCAAGCCCGTTACATGTGGTACCCAAGAAAAATGGAGAACTTAGGCCATGTGGAGATTATAGGCGATTGAACACGATAACAAAACCCGATCGTTACCCTATACCGCGTATTAACGATTTTAAGTACTTATTAGCAGGAAAAAAGATTATTTTTAGCAAGTTAGATTTGAATAGGGCGTATCATTTTATTCCGGTCGCATCCGATGACATTGAGAAAACGGCAATCATTACACCTTTTGGACTTTTCGAATTCCCGCGGATGACCTTCGGTTTGTGCAACGCTGCACAATCGTTTCAGAGATTCATGGACACGATAGTGCTGCGTGGTTTCGATTTCGTATTTAATTATATTGATGACGTTTGTATAGCTAGCGAATCGGAAGAAGCCCATAAGGCGCATTTGAAGGCAGTTTTCTCAAGGTTTAACGAATTTGGTGTTACAATTAACGTATCTAAATGTATATTTGGCGTATCAAAATTAGATTTTTTAGGTTATGAGGTGTCAGCGGATGGCGTTCGCCCGCTTGGCGATAAGGTAGAAGCAATTATAAATTTTCCGAGGCCTAAAAATATCGAGCAATTGCGTCGTTTTCTCGGTATGGTTAATTTCTACCGCTCTCACATTCCTAGGGCAGTCGAATGCCAGGCAGAATTAAATGCGTATTTACATAAAACATTAATTGAGTGGACTGATAAGGCTATTGAGGCTTTTGAGAAATGTAAGGCTAGCTTAAAAAGCGCCATTACATTATCCTATCCATTGCCAGACGCTGATTTATCTTTAATGTGTGACGCTTCAAACACTAGTGTAGGCGCAGTCCTACAACAACAAGTTAACAACTGTTGGAAACCGCTGGGATATTTTTCTAGGAACTTAACGCTCACGGAAAACAAATACTCTACGTATGATCGCGAATTTTTAGCAATATTTATGGCCATCAAATATTTCAAAAGTTTAGTAGAGGGACGAAAATTAACTATTTTTACCGATCATAAACCACTTATATACGCATTTACAAAAATAAACAGCGATAAAGAAAGTCCTAGACGAATCCGTCAACTTTCTTATATAAGTGAGTTTAGGACAAATATTAGGTATATAAACGGTAATCAAAACGTAGTGGCCGATGCTCTTTCCCGCATAGCAACAATAAATTGTCCGACGTTACTGGATTATGCAGCGCTAGCGGAAAAGCAATCGAGTGACGCATATTTACAGCGAATGATACAAGCGTCTAATTGCAACTTGCAGTTTAAACAATTTTACATACCTGATGGGGAGAAACAAGTTTATTGTGAAGTCTCACACAATAACGTTAGACCGTACTTAATGGAAGATTTTAGGCAATTAGCTTTTCGTTCAGTACATGACCTTAGCCATCCTGGAATTAAATGTACTAAACATTTAATCAAACAAAAGTTCTTTTGGCCAGATATGGACCGGGATATAACCAGATGGGCCAGAGCCTGTCCCGTATGTCAAAAAGTTAAAATAAATAGACATACTGTGTCAGGAGTAGGGAATTTTGAAAGGGTTGATAGATTTCAACATGTACACATCGATATCGTCGGACCTTTGACGATATCGTCTGATGGATATAGATATTGCGTGACAATGATCGACCGTACCACGGGTTGGCCCGAGGCTGTTCCTGTGCAAAATATCACAGCGGAGACCGTAGCTAGAGTAGTTTTTGAGTGTTGGATTTCTCGCTTTGGATGCCCTTCGAAGCTTACTAGCGACCAGGGTAGACAGTTTGAGAGTGATTTATTTAACAACCTCATGAAATATTTAGGCATTCACAAGTTACGTACAACTCCTTATCATCCACAAAGCAACGGCATGATCGAACGTTGGCATAGAGCACTAAAAGTGGCTCTCATGGCACGTTTGCAATGCAACAAGTCATGGGTAGACGAGCTTCCGATCGCATTGTTAGGTCTGCGTGCAGCTATCAGAAGTGATAGCGGGGTGAGCGCAGCGGAATTAACCTACGGTAAGCCATTTCGATTACCGGGAGATTTTTACGATCAATCCAAAATTCGTAGTTCAGACTCGGAATATTTACAGTTGCTTAGGGATACTATAAATAAATATAAACCACGACCAAGGAGTCACGGGAATTCGAGATCATTATTCGCGTCTAGCGATCTTAATACGTGTAAAAGTGTTTTCGTTAGGAACGATATAATGAGAAGGTCACTTCAGCCTCCATATGATGGTCCATATACTGTCGTAAAACGACAAGGAAAGACATTTATTATTAAGATAGGTGATAAGGAAACTTGTATATCGATTGATAGGCTTAAACCTGCATACGTTATCGACAGTGATATTTCTAGGTTAGATATAACGGATGATAGTAATAACGATAATAGTACTAATATTAGAAGCAATAATAACGAGGACACTTCTAGCAAAGTTTTAAATCATAAAACAACGCGAAGTGGCCGCGTTATAATAACACCTTTACGTTTTGCATAGTATGCAACCTATTGTATTTTAACCGTATTGAGTAATTTTGATTATGATTTATAATTAACGCTATTGCGACTTAATTTAGTTCGTATATTATACACCAATATACACCTTATTACATTTTATTTACTTTTAACTTTACATTGCATTTTGTGTAAATTACATTTTTATTGTTCATGCACAAAATTTTGTCGTACGGTTTCATTAATTTTAAGACGTATGCAACATAATTATTATTGGGCACACGTATAATTAGGCAATAATTTTATTTTGATTCACGGCAATATATAATTAATATTTTTGCGGTAAATTACATTTCATTACGTTCTTTGCTCAGACGAACATCATTTTTTCTGCTAATAATTCAATACGATGGGTTCGAGTCAAACTAAAGAAGAACACAACTCGAGCAATAGTTTGATTGCTCAGACGGTGAACAACACCTTCCAGGAAAAATTGGATAGCCTGGTATGGGTCATCATAGCTCTTGTGGCGATTTTGTCCGCTGCCATTGGGTTGATGGTGTGCCGGCGCAGAATTTTGGGTTCGCAAGCAGACCAGCTGCAACGGTCAGCACGGCGACCGTCCAGACGGTGCCTCAACAACAGGCGCCTGTGGCTAGTGCATACGTGTAACCAAAGTAATTTGCATAGTTTTAAAAAATGAAATCGGGTATTATTAAGATGTGTTTATTGTTTGTTTTAAAGTTATATTATGTACTTAGTGTTTAAAATATTTTTTCCTTAAGAGGGGGGTTGGTGTACGTACATTATGACTGAGTTTTGTATGTACGAGTATATGCATGTAAGGGATATGTATGTGTGTGTCAACGTTGAGTAATTAGAGGCGGCTGCGCCCACCGATTAAGTTTACCTATTAGTCGCGAATAAATACAGTTAGAGTGAACACGTAGTCATTTCCTTTATGTTTAACCTTTCCCACATAAATATATTTCCCTATTCCTGAAGCCTGATTCAAGCCTCGGTGATATATTAATGTTCAATTGTAGTTCTAAATACAACAACTGGGTAAATGTTGTAGTTTTTGCAATAATTTTTATACACAAACGCGACTGTGTTGCAAAACTGCTATCTATCTTGCATACGCCTTTTTATATACGCTGCCCGGCGCACATATCTGGTGATAAAAACACCCCATGTTATAAATCTAACAAATGTATTCTTCAAAACGTTATTAAGGAATTTTTCTGTTACTTAGTTTAAAAAAAAACTTATTCCTCTATTTAATTTTTTCACTTTTGATCAACGAAAATAAAACGTCATAATTTAGCAGCATCTGTTTAACATCTTATTTTAAATGGCCGATTTAGATAAAATCTAGGCAACGTTCGTAACGAAAATTCACACGCTTAAGACATCATTGCAAGTTTGCAAGAATTGATAATGATATGCTTTGGTACGAGTAATATTTTTATTTATAATACTTTTTATAATATTTTTATAATACTTTAAGACAAAATAGAATATTATATAAGCTCGTATATTATATAAATATAACACTTGTTTATATTTATATAATATACTAGCGGACCTAACAGACGTTGTCAAGAAAAAACAAAAAAAAAAAACGAATTGTGAATCCAAACATAAAAAATTTCATAAAAAATTCCTCCGTTTAGGAGTTCTGTGACATATACACGTACAAAAGAATTATATAATATAATTATATAAAGATAATGTACTTACATTAACCCACGAAAATATCATTCCTTGGGAATTAATCCCTTAAAAGCTAACGTAACACTGAGGTATGTACATTAGCCGTATTACGCTTAAGGGAGTTGAAATATTTTTCAACATAAAACTTTAAAATTATAAATATTTTATTTTATTATGCATTGTTATTATTACTTACATTTTCATACTTATTTATTTTAACTTTTCCAACCTTTGAGTACTAACTTCAAGTTTGCAGGACAATGGGGACCGGCCAAGTGCGAGTTGAATTTACGCACGAAGGGTTCCGTACTATTTATTACCTATAAAAACGGCAAAAAAAATGTCTGTTGTACGGAAGCCCCACGTAAATATGTTTTGTTCTGTTTTTTAGTAATAATTGTTATAGCGGCAACAGAAATACATCATCTTTAAAAATTTCAACTAACTGTCACGGTTCATAAGATACAGCCGGGTATCAGACGTAGAGACGGACAGACAGCGGAGTTAGTAACAGGGTCCCATTTTTCCCTTTGGGTACGGAACCCTAAAAGTGCCTTAAGAAAAATTTTGAACGGTGTCCGGTGTGTTTCACAGAAGCACTACATTTATTTATACATTGTGCTCAGCAGTAAATGAAATATATTGCATAGTCATTTTTAAAATGTAAATAAAGCTTTTATCAGAATATTTTTTGCGAGTGAAAATTTTATAAATATAGAACAGCAGCCGTATTGCGACTCAACCGATGTTGCAAGTGTCCATGAGCTGCGGTGATCGATTATAACCAGGTGGCCCGCATGCTTGTTTGCCTCCTATTCCCATTAAAAAAAATGACATCTAAAAATCCCTATGCATTAAAAGGAAACTCGCGAGCTCTTCAAAACATTTTCCGTAGATTCACCGGATCATTTAACAAACATACATACAGACATATTTTTACTGGTATTTGTACGTATGTTAACGTACTGTGTATTTAAATGTTTACTTTATTTTATGTAAGCTATATAATTTAAAATACATACATAAATATGTCAGAATTTTACTTATTGCTTTTTTCATGATGACGCTAAGGTTGGCACGCCGATGAATTTGGTGTATAAAGAAATAATAAATTGACGTTACCCATCACTACTAATACAAAGTGAACATTTTGAAAGACGTTAAAGATTATGACACTTAGTAAAGATTCTTACACCTGATGGTTCACTTGCATGATACTTATAAATAAGTGGTGTTGGTGATGTTATCCTGAAATATATAATATGAGTTTGCAGCTACGGCGAACAAAATTACGCCATATGTGTTTAACTTAAATATTTCAAATAAATCGCTTATAATAATCATAACAGGACGATAAGTTAAGTTCCATCAGCTGATAAGCGTACTTCCATTTAGTAAGTACTTTTCGATTTTCATACATGAAATCAAACAGAGTCACCGCCCCTTAATTTGTTTGTTTTTCCTCTTTAATAAGGTCAATTGAGATAAGATTTTCAGAATGGCTCACAAATTGCTACCTTATCGCTCATCCCCCATTACCCTAAAACCACTTTGTTTGAATCTATGACTTATTTGCTCTATTTCAGAATGTTCCTCAGTGATTCATTTTTTTATAAATTCACAACAGCCTAATTAGTAGATTGGCATTCTACGTAACACGGCACTTCGTATTACGTAGAATGCCAATCTATACCATATATCTATACTATATTATTTATTGGAATATGAAATGAAACGTACAAGTCTGTCATTTATTTAGCGTAAAAAAACGCCGGCGTAATCTTTTACTATTTCAAAATTAAAAAAAACAATGGACACATGAAATTAAAATTATACATAATAATTATTTTCTCTTTGCATAGTAAAATCTCTTTAGGCCCCAGTCCCAATTAAATGGGAATGGTTGCAAAAGAGCGTTTATCCAATACGGAGCGATCACTGCAATCCATGGACATTTTCAACGCATGAGAAGTTGCGTAATTGATACGCTAGTGGTGAGCCCTCATTGCACTTTCACCAGTTTACTCCCCTTGGAGAGATGCAACATGACAACTACTTAGATAGGCTACGCTTTTTGTGGTAGGGCCACGCAACAGTCTTCGCTGCACGAATGGGCAGGTCCATCCCAGTAAGTACCACGACCTCACAAAACCGGCGTAAATTGGACGTGCTGTTTCGAACGTGCTTAATGCGTTTCATCTGACGAGTGAGGTAGCCGGGGCCCACTCTAATAAAAAGTGGCAACTCATCTGCAACTCTACGGGTGTTGCAAATGTCCTTGGGCTGCGGCTATCACTTACCATCAGGTGGACCGCCAGCTCGCTTGCCAACTTTTCACATAAAAAAGAACGCTTCATACTTATTCCGAACTTAACGCGTTATTATGCCTCAATACAGAGCTAACGTCGGAGCTGTGCAACAGGAAAGCATGCCCACCTATTATGATTGCATTATATGACGTCATCTACTTAGTAAGCCTACCTCTAATTAGTGGGTACCCGTTAGATAGTAAGTATTTGAGTGTCTACTAAGAATATCTGTTCATCGTCTAATTTAATTTAATTTCAATCACAACGACATTTCTGAATTGATTTTAAAATCAGTTCGGAAATATCGTTAGGAATAATATTTTAGGAGTCATATTTTACATGACCAACAAACAGTTCATATTTATATATAAATGAAATGATACGAGTATACGAGAATAAAGCAAACAGCACTGTTGATAAAAAGTTAACATAATCATTTATGATTTAAAGTAAAGATTGCTCTGCACAGAGGGTATCATAGCATATTCCACTACGAATTGGCAGGCCTAACATATCTTAGAAGTATTTATTTATTATTTCGAAAATATGAAGGTTTCCTCACGATGCTTTCAGCACTGAGGACGTTATAAGTCTGCAATTGATACTGTAAGTAACAAAGAGAGATTTAAAGTCGGATTGCTCGAGTATATTGAATCAAAAACTAGCACCCCGACATTGAGCTATCACGAGATTGTTTAATATTTACTAACAATATTCTTCTAAAAATCAACAAAAACAATATTCTTCTGAAAATCAGCGCTGTGTGGGGGCCTTGACTTCCGGCATAGCATAATGCTGAGCTGCTAACCAAATTTACTGGAATAGGGCGTACAATATTTATAGTTTGTTCTTTTTCATTTGTTTTATATATTAATTATGTATTTGTGTTCTTTCGCTTTACTGAATTATTTATAAGTATTTTTTTTTATTTCTTGTTAATTTTACTTTTTCTTTCTCTTTTATTGTGTGCGTCCTTTTTTTGGTAAATAAATGTATTTTTTTTCTATATTTCTGTTTAAACACCAATCCTTTGGGTTGAAATGTCGAGGTGATTAAAAGCATCATCGAAAGAACTTTTCAACATGGGGATTTTTTTAATCGGTATTAGTTAGTATGACGTGTAGTGGTACCAAAAGTAAAGCCGAATCACTGTAACGAACTGCTCTAGTTGATTGATTCGATAGAGTGACATAATAACAAGTGGAAGAGTACAATGGATGTGTCATTGTAAAGTAACAAGCTCGTAACTTGAAACTGTTGACGTCTGAATTCAAATTGTAAATTAATTTGACTGAGCACCTCTCAGTACTGTATGATGAATTAGTTATAGTCTACACACAAAGTTTATTGTACAGAGAAAGTTCTTTAATCTTAAAATAAATTCGATTTGGACCTTATTTGTTACGTTTTATAATATGATGTTCAAAAACAGGCTAAGTGCGAGTCGGAATCACGCACGTTCCCTCTTAAATATTTTTTGTTTTATTCTATTTTAATGCATTTTTTTATTCTATTACATAAATATTTTTCTCAATATTTTCAACTGAAAATTTCAACTGTCTAACTATAACAGCTCATGAGATACAGCCTGGTGACAGACGGACTGATAGACAGACAGCGGAGTCTTGGTAATAGGGTCCCGAT